TTCATAGGGTGAGGGACAGAACACTGAGGCTCAGAGAAGGTAAGCAACTCACTCAAGGTCACACACATCAAAGGCTGAGTCTGAATTTGAACTCCAGAGCCTTTCTCCTTAGCTACTAGACTCTCCTGCTTCTTCAAAAAAGTAAGAATTAGATGGTTGTAGGAAAACCTAATGAATAACATACTGGCTGTTTTCAGGGGACTATCTGTTCATCAGTAATTTAGTAGGAAGCCAAAGTACTTTGGAGAAGTGGAAGAAAGGATGGGGTAGTGGTTCCCAAGTGTTGCTGCACATTATAATCACCTGGGGAACTCTTAAAAAACCCAATGTCTAGGTTTTACTTCAAAGCAATTAAAACTAGAATGCCTTGGGGGAAGAAGCTAGGCATTGGTATTTTTAAAAAGATTCCCTGGATAACTCTATGCAGAAAAAGTTGGGAACCAGTCTAGTAAGATGACCAGACATGCATATATGTATGTGTGCATGTGTGTTTACTGGCATGTGATATTAAAGGGTGAGGTTAAGTTTTCCATCTGTGGAGTTGAACATCTCTATTGGCTGAAACCTATAAGCACACAAGGGGCATGAAAAAGCAGCAGTAGTGGTTTTTTTTTTTTTTTTTCTTTCTCCAAATTATAGGTGTACGCTATTTTGTTAATGCCTTATTGTTTATTCTCCCAAATAAGTAACCATTACCCTACCTAGCCCATTGGTTCTCAATCCTAGGTGCATATTAGAATCACCTAGGGAGCTTTAAAAATATCTTGGCTGGGATGCCACCTGCAGAGTTTTCTGATGTAATTGCTCTGGGGTGGACCTGAGGTAGAGGTATATTATTTTAGCTCCTGAGGTGACTGTAATATGCAGCCAGGATTGAGAACCTCTGCAATAGTCTTTCCAACTCTAGTTGTTACAGATTTCTTGAAACCTCATCCACTCATTGCAGAAACCCCTTTCTTGGTCCCTTTTAACCCACCCAAATCCTCTGCTTACTGTGGAGCCGGGCAGCACCAGCTCCCTGGTGCTCACAGCTGAACTGTCAGTTTGACTGTGGTCTCAGAGGTTGCCTGCTCTAACCTGGGACACACAAAGGTGGCAGCGCTTTGTTCCCTAGGTGAGTGTGTTTCCTCTCGTTCCTGCCACAGGTCCTGGCCACTGTTCGAATATGGGGCCCATCAGGACCAGCTGTCTTCCTAAGTTTCTTTCTTACTCTTAGCCAGCAGGACTGTCTCCTTGGGTTGTGGCTACTGCTACGCTTGTTGATTTGATGAAGGGGAAACAATGGTGAGCCTCTTGGAAGAGCAGTACTGGACTTGTAGCGCCTTTCCTTCTGGTATGTGATGTCTTTGGGGCCAGCTAGGTTTTTTTTTTTTTTTTTCCTCCAGATATTTTATCCTTTTAAGGCAAACAACCCTAACTCAGGCTGAGAGTACTTTGCAAAGAGGCTTCAGAGAAAGCGGAATGAACACATCAACCCCTAAGCCCCCTTTGCAGGCAACTTAGTTGGAATGAACAGGTCTGGGCAGCTGAGAGGTCTAAGTTGATACCTGCAATAAGAGATCTAGGCGTGTCCCTCAGGAAGGCTCCTAGGGGAGAGAATTCCTAAACTGGGTCAGACCTCACTGCTGCCCCCTTTGCCAGCTTTTTCTGCCTCTTCCGTAGCCACTTTCCTCTTACAGCATTGTTAAAAACTCCTTGAGTGTCCCTAATAGTCTCTGATAGGAGCCTATTTACATGTGTAATTTAATCATTATCTTCTCAGGTGAGGATCTTCTGTGCCACTGCATCTGAGCAATGAAAATAACCAATATAATTGCAAATACTTTTTGTAAGAGTAATCTTAGAATCGGAGTCAGCAAGAAGCTTTCTTGTTTCTTTCCCCCTCCTCTAAAATATGAAAATATATTCAGCTGACAGATAGCATGTTAAAGCAGAGTCGATGTAATAAAGCCTCCCAGAGGACTAGGGACATTAATTACGTGAAGAAGTTAATCATAAGGAAAATAAATACTTTCATTATGAATCCAGCTTCATGTCGTGCATTTGGTTATTGGCCCTAAATGGGACGGATAAGAGGAATTAACAACAATAAAGAACCACAACCACAAACATGTGTTCACTTATTATGGCTCAGCACTTAGATGCAGAGTGATGGGCGAGAGTTGGTGGTAGCACACTGAGACATTATCTGTGTCTTTGTTTTTTTTTTTTATTTCAGGTTATGAAAGGATGGAAGTTAGTTCAGAGAAAAAAAAAACAAATCGGCAACAAGTTAGTGACAAAATATACTACTTTTTCACCTGCATCAAAATGAAAATAATACTCATTTCCTTTGCCTGTCTAAAGATCATAAATCCAGATTAAAATTCATTAGATTTGCTTTAAGGTAGATGCAGTTTTCATTAACTTCTGAGTAACTTAAGCCCAGCCAAAGCATAAGGAAATAGCTTAAATGATCTTTCTGGGATTATAATATGTGTTAAAAGCAGCTCTCCTGCTGTTATTGACCTCCTAATTGTTTAGTTTCATTTTCTCACTTGTAGTTCATACCTGCTCTGAAGAAATAGCATTACACTTTTTCAAACGTGAAGTAATTATAGTATCAGCCAGTCATTTTAATTTGGTTAATTGTATTGAATGTCAGGGATGACAAATACTCTCAGTTAAACAAAATACTTTTCTTCTTTTCTGAAACAAAAATGACATAATATGGGGAAAAGAAAATCTTTTCTGGATCTCCTATATATCATCTGAATGGTCCAGCTTTATCCATAAATTATGATTTTTGACAGTGCTTCTAAGTCTAGACTGAGAGGGGGGAAAATAAAGGATTGCCATGACAAGAAGCAAAAAAAAAACAAAAAAAAAAAAAAGGAAATTCTGAGTTGTGCCCTTCTGGAGTTATTGGGACAGATGGACTATAGGGTGTACTGGTCAGCACTCCTGTGCCTGCAGGTGGGTGGCAGTCATGTTGTAAAAGGAGGTACAATTCAACACTTCCCTCTTCATAAGACATACTTTTCCTAAATCATTGGTGACCGGTAACACATTTTATATGATGGCGAGTCACAGAAAATGGCCTTAGATTAGACTTGCGCTGGTTTGACAGGATGTCACCATATCCTTTACAGAGGCATAGTGAGCATCAGAAAGTGACAAGTATCATTTGCTTAGCCTGTGACGGCAACTCATTATGTCAGTGGGGAGAGTAAGACAGACAGAAACACATGTCTTGGAGTAAACCCTGGAATGTATACTGCCTTCACTGTTGGGCGTGGAGCTTTATGTGAATCATGGTCTTCATTCTAGGTAATTGCTACCCTCTTATTTGGGAACTCTCTGAGGACAGCAAAGTGTAGAAAAGTAAGCCCAAAGACACTTAGATAAGTAAGCGTAGTTTTTTTAACTGGAAGCACCATTCAATGAGTCCTTATTTCGAGCAAATGGATTTTATTTAATAGAACTTGTTCAATTTTGAATCGTTAGAGCAAAATCTTTTCTCTTTTTTTTTCCCCTATAGTGTATGGCACAGTGCAAAATGAAAGAACTGTTCAGTGTTTCTAGCCATTCACTTAATACCTAGTGTTACAAAGATATAATGCTGAACTCTACCATACATTTGTATGAGCAATGGCTCTTGTTACAGATCTGAAAAATGTAGTCGGAGAAGCTGTGTAGTGGGTTTTTCTTGTTGTTGCTGCTTTGTTTTTTGCTTCTGTTTTCGGTTGGAGGCATGATTAGAAATTAAGAAATAGTTGTTTTTCCTTTCTTCCAAATCTTATTTTATTGGCTCTTCAGAGAAGATATGATGTATCTTTCTATGTTTTTATATGCAATACGTGTCATGACTTTTTCGATGACCCAATTTGTATTTTGTTGTTGTTCATAAAAGGAAAATATGAATAGAAACTATAATTTGTCTAATTCTGCCATCCAGATGTTTTTTTAAATTTAAAATTTTTTTTTCTTTTTTGCAATAGGGCATATGACCTCGCCAGACAGACAGAGAGAGAGATATAGAGACAGAAAGCGAGAAATCACCCCCCTCCCCCCCAGGGAGGATGGTCACGCCGCAATCCCTTCTCCTCCATTCTCATCTTGGGATCTTTGGCACGCACACACACGCGCCCGGTGTGAGTTTTAAGCCACCGGCTCCGGGATGCGAACCTCGATCGACTACATGGGAGTCCAGCAACATAGCCATTACGCTAACTGCTGTTCCCGCCATCCAGATGTTTTAGCATTACTTATTATGGAGACTTGGTTGAGGTGGGACTTTAAAACTTTCATGGACGATTGCATTTTAAGAAAATACTATGCATAGCGTTGATTTTTTTACACCAAAATAAACATTAATTCCATTTTCCACAGACTTTTTGAAGTCACCTAGTATATTTTGTTAGGGAAAAAACCCAACTCAACAAAAATGAAATGATTCCTCATTTGAGTATATTATCTTTCTGGGATTATAATATGCGTTAAAAGCAGATCTCCTGCTGTTATTGACCGTCTAATTGTTTGGTTCCATTTTCTCACTTATAGATCATACCTGCTCTTCAGAAGTCGCATTGCACTTCTTCAAACATGAAGTAATTATAGTATCAGCTAGTCGTTTTAATTTGGTTAATTGTATTGAATGATAGTGGCCAATGGCATAAACTAGATAGATGTTACTTTGGAACAGTCCTCATGGAAGGGAGTGGTAAATAAATAATAGGCTCTCTGTGAATAGATCCTCTTCTATTAACTTCCTTCCCCCATTTTAGATACATCATGAATTCATCCAGCCTTTGCCTTTCTCTTGCTTTGCACATGGCAATGACCTCATTATTTACCCCATCTTTTTCGCTCTTTGAGGGAAATGCTATACCCAAAAAAGTGTTTGTGTGTTTTGTTTTGTTTTGGACAGGCAGTTCTTAAAATAGCAACAATTAAAGAAAAACTGTCCAGAAATGAACATGTTGGACACTTTAAAGCATTATATATGTGTGTTTGGGTATTGTTTACATGTTTATGATCATATATAAGAAATTTTATTTCAGAGAATTCTGGTATTTGAAGAATATCCTGTTACTTTCATCAAACATTATATTCTGTCTATCCTATAATCACAGCAATTTTAATCAATCCAGGGCAAATGTCTACACTCTCAGAAATAAAGGGATCAATAACCAGTATTTTGGTGAGGACAGCATCACAGACTGTGTAGAGAGGAATGACGCTGAGCAGACCACATTAGTGGAACCTTCATTGTAAAGCGTAAAACAGAAACACTGCTCATCACAGAGGAGGCTTCCCTTTTCAAGTGGCCCTTTCTCTTCTGTGCTTTATCTTGTCTTTTGGTGCCACCAACAATGTCCTGTGCCATGTAAATCATCTCTTGTAATAGACCAGTACCTCATCTTCTGGATTCCTGGGGTCATTGCCTGTATGAAGAATAGAAAATGACTCAAGATTACATTTCTTTTTGCAAGAAGGAGATTTTTCTGCTAGATGGACTTGGAGGTTATTAAATAATATCTAGGTGAATGATTGCTAGTGAGTTTTTTTTTTTTTCATAGTGAGATTTTTGCTATAGGGTATGTATGCTAGCAAGAGAGATAGAGAGATAGAAAGCAAGAAATCACCGCCCCACCCACCCCAGGGTGGATGTCCGTACTGCAATCCCTTCTTCTCCATTCTCCTCTTGGGATTTTGGGCATGTATGTACATGGGCCCGGCATGAGATTTTTTTTAAGCCACCAGGTCCGGGACTCAAACCGAACCATGGATGACTATGTGGGAGTCCAGGGACATAACCTTTACACCATCTTCTGGTCCCGCTAGTGAATTTTGAAATAATCTGTAATGGGCTTTTCCCCCTCATTTCTGACTTACATAAATTAAATTCAACACTTTTTGTTATTCAATCCCTTACTTTATTGTCATGAAGGTGGAGGACATAACTTTAAAAGCTTTTTTTGCTTAAACCAGGCCCCTTTCTTTTTTTCTGGCCAGTGGCAACAATTTCTCTCTTCTCTGAAATCCTTTATAAATTGAAACATCAGGCAGAACCAGATGGTGCAGTCTGTGGTGTACTGGACTGCAGTGCTGGAAGCCACATTGCTGACTGAGGGTTCAGATCCCCAAGTTGGCCTGAAAACAAGCTGGGCACATGATTCTGAGGAGTTGGAGGTCTGGGGAAAGGGAATCATAGCGTGATCAGACCCTTTCAAGGGTGCTTTTTCATTCTTTATCTCTCTCTTTTCCATGTGTATGTTGATGCCCTCTGTCATAAATTTTAAATAAAAGTGTGTTTATGTGTACATATATATGTATCTATACACATATGTGTACATGTATATACATGTATAGATGTATATTGTGTACACACACAGATGTGTGTACATGTATATATATCTATAAAATGAACCAGCAGTAATTGTTACTTTTTAGCCTAAGTTTTAGCCAAATTACTGTTGGTGGTGCCGATGATCATGATGATAATTACTAAAGCTATTTTCTTACTATATGACATGTATGCAACTTCTCTTAATTGTCACAATAATCTGATAAAGTAGGTGCTGTTATTTCTGTTTTTTTTTTTTTTTAGGTGAAAAAGAAAAAAAGGAGGTACAGAGAAGTTAAACAATTTGCCCAAATTAAAATAGTGTGCTGAAGTATTCAAATGCAGGTCTATGTAACCTCAGAGCTCATGCTCGTTCTCTGGAAGCTGTGTTGTTTAGCTACATGAGTTGTTTGTGCCAACAACTCATTTTAAAACAGAAGTCCTATTTCTCATTCATCTCCTGTGCAGTTTTCCTTCTTTTATAGAACGTTTTGGTAATTGTTCCCATACAATTTAGCCATGTACCCATCATGGCTATGGATGTATTCTCTTATAGATACCAACATGCCTTTGTATCCTAACCATTCATCTTAAAATAATATGATACTTCTGCTGCCATATTTAAATTGTTATCAAGTGCAGCTATGCATGCTTAAAGCATTTTTGGCTGTTTTATACATAGAAAGTTTCCCTATCTTGTATTTGCATATTTTGCTTTTTTTGTGTAAAAAGTTTTAAGTAGCACGTGCTTATCCCTTTGGAGTCAAATTCCCATTTTAAAGAAACATTCCCTTAAAGTGTCAGTGGTTTATTTCTTTACGTATTTTTCTTTACATGATAAGTTTACATATTTTTCATAAATACTAATATATTTGAGTATTATTATAAAGTTTATCAAACACTTTCTGATTTATTATTATGGTAGTTTATGAAAGTTTCCATGGGTTTGTTTTATTTGTTTGTTATTCTGTCATTGACCAAATTTTTACTAAGGGCCTACTGGGGGATAGAATAGGGCAATGCTAGCAATGTCTTCTACTCATCCACAAATCATCTAATACCTGGAAGTTGGTGGCTATAGAACATATACTGAGAAAGATTTTACCTTTCTGTTGGCTCTTCCGGCATGAGCTGGACCCAGCATACTGGGGAGAGAGTCACTTTTCTAGTTCTCAACGTTTATTGCAGTATTGTGTACTTTTCTTACATCATGCCAATCGGTGTTTGAATTTCTATGTCTTGGTCATTATTTGGTTAATATCTGCTTCCCCCAGAACATGGTAAGTTTCATGAGAACAAGGCCAATGTCTCTGATGCTTCATGTTGTATCCTCAAAGCCCAGAACAAGGCAGGTACACAGCAGAGGTTTAATAATTTGTTATCAAGTAAAGTACAAGATGAATCCTCTTCATGTTTCCAGCCCTTTGTAACTTCTTTTAAATTTTAACTTTTGAAAATTAGAAACTTATGTCACTGGATGCAGTAGAGGTTGTAGACATGTTTGATTTGGCCAGAAAAAATGTTTCACAGACTTCTCAATTGGAATGTTTTGGCATACCTTTGCGGGAGTGTCTGCACTGTACACGTTCTTCACAGCCTCTCCCATACCCTGTGTTTTCACTGAGCCCTCATCCCTTGTTTTCTGTCTGACCTCTGAAGGCATTCCAGTGTTTTTCTTCTGAGATTACAAAGTCTCGAAAAGTTCTTTCTACTTTGAGTAGTCTGTAATTTTAAAGTGATTTTTCCAATGAAGCACACTCGCCCTGCAATTCTAATAACTGTCTCAGCTTAAGCTCTGCAACATAAAACTTCATAAATTGGTTAACCTTGGAAAGTAAATGAATTGATTGCTAAGAAGTACAAGCATGGAATTAGTAGTTACAGAAGGATCTTTTAAAATTCTTAATTCCCTTTACAGACACATCCAGAACCCTTACAAACACAGTTCTATCAAGCTTAGGATAATGCTGGTACTGAATATCCAAAAATGCTCATGGTTCTTAACATCGTGAAATGATAGAGACCATCAAACTGATAATAAAATCCTGTTTAATTCGATATGCCTCAACATTAACCAATGTTAAAGGAAAAATTTGAAGATTAACTTTGCATGTCATCTCTTAGGACAGAACCTGGAAACTTGCAGTCTCTTGAAAAACATTTTCACTTCCTCTGATCATATGTTTCTGAGAGTGTCTGAGGTTATTTTTCTGGAAGTTCTACATACTACCAATGCCAATCTACCATACTTACTTACCAATGTACCATGTGCCTTTTTTATATGGTAACAGTGAAGTTTGATAACTTATATTTATTGACTAGAAAAAGGAATATGTGTATGGTTTCATTTGTGCCTCATACTATTTTAGTGAATAAAAGAGGATAGATCATCTCTATTTTATAGATAAGAAAATTAAGGTTAAAAAAGATGAATTAATGTAACTCTAATCCAAATGCTCTTAAGAGAGAGCACTGTAAATCTAACAGGTCATTAGACTCAGTTCAACACCCTTCAAAACTCCTTTTATGTTTTTTCAAATTTTTAGATTTTTGCCATAGAGCATGTATGCTTACGAGAGAGAGAGACAGAGACAGAGACAGAGACAGAGGCAGACAGAGGCAGAGAAAGTGAGAAATCACCCTCAAGAGGGGGATGGCTACACCACAATCCCTTCTCCTTCATTTTCCTAATGGGATTTTGGGCATGCAGACATGCACACACATCTGGTATGGTTTTCAGGCTTCCAGGTCTGGGACTTAAACTGTGAAGTCTGCCATAGGGATCCAGCACCTAATTAACCGTCATACCACCTGCTGGTCCTTTAACACTCTATGGCACTAATGTATTGATGAGATTGCCTTGAAAGGTCACTGAGTCCTGTGGGCTCATAATACATTAATGGAAGCTCTATGCAGTTAGGCTCAGAACATGGCACATACGGAGGATCAAAGCTTGGATTCTAACGCAGTTGCTACTTTACCACTAACTGTCTGTATGACATCTAGTTGGTCTGAGCTTTTATTTCCTCCTGATAAATTAGGATTATAATCTGTAGTGTGATTAGAGATAATGTTTACATGTCCCTTAGCGCAATGTCCAGAACACGGCATAGACTTAATTGATGATTGCCATTGAGATTTTCTTTCCTATCATTTTTGTCAAACCAATTTCTGTCCTTAAAGTGCTCCGAACATCTCTAAACCAAACTGAAGAGACAAGAAGATGGTTTCAGTCATGACAAGGTCCTGGAGCAGAGCCCAGTGTAACCCAGCGTGGCTTTGATCAGTATGACTCAGAGTCAGATTGAGTGACAGCAAGAATTCAACATGACTCTGTGTGGGCTAACCATTGGCAAGAAAGGCTGAACACAGAAAAGCTTGAAGTTCCATGATAATGTGATTTATTTCCCTCAATTAGCACTTATAGGCCCATAGAGACTGGGTTGGTGAAGTTTGAACTGAGCACCATGTATTTAAAAAGTTATAGTGAAAATAGTTGTTCTCTTCCAAAGCAAAGTTGTCTGTGTTCTAAACACAGAAGAATATTTACTGGTTATTCTTTGTAGATGCATTTATGTGAAATCTTAGTAATATTATTCTTAATGTTCATTTTAGCACATAGTTCTACTGCAAGTATTGACGGTGGCACTGGTACTCTGGAGTACAGTTTTAAAGATCCACTGATTTGAAGATCAGCAGATGGCATGTGGTAGTTACATTGCTGGACTCCTACATGGGTAACTGTGGTTCAAGTCCCAGATCCAGAAGCTTGAGGCTCATGCCAGGCATGCATGTGTGTGTGCCCAGAATCCTGAGAGAAGAATGGAGGAGAAGGGATTGCAGCATGGCATCCCCCAGGGAGTGATTTCTAGCGTTCTGTCTCTCTGTCTCTGTTTGTCTGTCTAGGGAGCACACATGCCTTATAGCAAAAATCTCTAAAAAACTGTGAAAAGATCCACTTATTTGGTTTTAATCCATCAAAAGTAGTTGGGGCAATGTAGCTTTTTAGCTTCCTGAAATGTTTACATGGAAGTTAGTCACTGATAATGGATTTCTATTTGAAAGCCATTTATTCCCAGCTTGAATATTTGCCGTCCAGACTAAGAAGCTATCAGATGTAGAACATAATCTTAGCCTATAAATGCTTTCTGTTAATGACCTTGATACTGTATTTCAAGATGTCTTTTCAAAAGCAGTATGATTGTGGGTGAAAGGCATGATAACAGCCCTGTTAGCCTGTGGAAGAATACATTAATGGTCTTGGTGGAATTCTTGACACTTACGATGATGAGCTGATAATGGAAAGCTTTAGACTAAAAAATACTAGTTTATTTTGAAATGTATTGTGTCGTCCAAGGAAGATCAAGGAGTAATTTGTATATCACAGAATTCACCCTCTCTGCATGTGTGGTAACGGGATTTTTAGTAAGTGTGTAGAACTGTCCAGCTATCCTCATTACCCAGTTTTAGAACATTTCCATCACCCTTCCCCCCAATTACTAGGGGCCAGTTTTACACACACATCTGTATTAGCAGTAACAGCGATGATAATAGCAGGTTGCCATCTACAGAAGTCTCGCTAGGTTCTTATTTGTTCTATAGGCAGATTATTTTTTATAATCGTAATAGTTCTTAAACATAGAGATTTGCTCTACTGAGAGACAACAAAAGTAAAGCAAACTCAGGGAAGTTGCATAATTTGCCTAAGATCACATGATGCTGCCTGTGCTTTTGTCTGCTAGACTGAGAGTTATTTTATGTTTTGGGTACTGTGTAAGCAAACTACATGCTTTATACATTTCTATAACTTTTTAGTTCTTTCTGGATTCTTTTAGCACTAAGATATATCCTTGAACTTAACCCTCCAACATGCCTTTTCTGGTTTCCTAAGAATATTCTGCCAAGGAGTATTAGAAGAGGTCAGCCCAGCCATGGCAATGTGCATTTAACACCGCTGCTCAGCAGATGGAGGCCACATGGGGGGCCAGGCTTCAATTTCTGACCTAACCTAAAGGCTGATGTGGTGGCATCTGCATGTAGTCCCCGCTACTCAGGAGCCTGAGGCAGGAGAACCATAGCATGGCAAGTCTCTGTCTTAAAAAAACAAAACAAAACTACAAACAGAACCAGTTCCATGGCCTGGTGGTTGAGGTAGCAAGATCCCAAATGGCCAACCACATGAGAGTCCCAGACCTGGAGGCTTGAGAAACCTGACAGGCATGTGTGCCCAAAATCCTGAAAGGAAGACTAAGTGGAGGAAAAGAGATTGCAATGTGACCCTGCCCCCTGGGGCATGCTTTCTCCTCTCCCTCTTTCTCTGCCTCTGTTTCTCTTGAATGAGCACACATGCCTTGTGGCAAATACATACATGTATACATGTATGGATACTCAACAAGAAAGCACCACACACATACATGCACACCACAGCTTCCCACACGCTCCACCAAAAAGCACCAAAACGTTACAGATAAGTACCAGTCCTTGAGGTGAATGTGGACTTGATGAAGGAGCTATCTGTGTGAGTGAGGTCAGGACAGGAGAGGCTTGAATTATGAAATAAAGGAATGAACCAGCACACATGACAGAACTGTAGGCCAAATTGATTTTACAAGGTCTGAGCGGAAGGGAGAGGTTTGTTCTTTAGCTGGGACTGGAGTGGTGATTTCATGAAGAAAAGTGGAGGGTTTCGGGCTAGTTCGTGGGCTGGCAGGCAAGGTTGGATGCACGTGGAAGATTGCAAGTTCAGTTCCTCTGCCCACCTGAACATGCTGCGTGGGTGTGCCCATGATTCTGGCTGGTTGGGAAGGCTTTGGGGTCGGCGGGAGGGTTGCAGCATGGGATGTGTGTCTTTCTTTGTCTCTCACTCTCATGACAGAATAAATAGAAAAGATGAAGTTGAGGGTTTCAATAAAATATCTCTTTAGGGTAAAACACCATTTTAAAGGGAGAGTCCTAATGGGCTCCTGCTCCAGTGGGGCTGAAAGCAGAAGAAGAGACTCAGTGGCCTGGCCTCTACTGCAGGTGGTCCTGACCCGTGGGACATAAGTGATTTAGGTGGCTGCCGCTGACTCTGGTTTGTCTCAGTAAAGACCTGAGCTTGTTACCTGGCTGGTGCATTCCCCAGAACCCTTTGCTCTGATGTCAGTCAGTCCTGCCTGGTGCAAAGGCTTCTGGGTAATGAGCCAACTGGGGATGCTGCCAGTACTGTTGCGTCCACAGAAGTGAAATGAGTTGGCACCTTTAGCTTGCTTTCTTATTGTGCAGGTACCAGGAATGAAGTTTCAGTTTAAAAGAATAAAGAATAATCTTACTCTGAGGATTCACCAGGGATTGATAAAAGGGATTTCAAAGACAGGGAACTGTTTCCTGTGTGTGCAGTAAATTGCAGATTCAAGCTTTGGTTACATAAGCGTTTGGAAATCTGAACTGCTATTGGTCAAATTTGGATTTTTTTTCTCAATTAAGTGAAAAATAATGGACAAAAGTGAGTGATATTTGTGAGTGGGAACCCATTTTGATACATATATACACACAAGGCAATGAGGAAGGCAAAATATTGAGGTTGCACCTGTATACATCCCTCGTGTGAGGGATGTATGCAGTGTCATAGAAATGCATGTGATGGAGCGAGATTGTCAAGAACACAGCATAAATGATCATACAGGTCAATCATTATTTTCAGAATCCGGAATGGTGGGGAGAACATAATAGATATGGACAGAGACCATGTGGTTCTCAAAGTGGGATGCCTGGATGCCTGGACTAACAGCATCAGCACCACCTGGGAACTTGTTAGAAATGCAGATCCTCAGATATCACACCAGATTCATTGAGTCAGAAGCCGTCGGCTGAGGCCCAGCAATCTGTATTTTTTTTTGCTATAGGGCGCGTGCGCTCGCCAGACAGAGAGAGACAGAGAGACAGAAAGCGAGAAATCACCCCCCAGGGGGAATGGTCACGCCACAATCCCTTCTCCTCCATTCTCCTCTCGGGATCTTAGGCACGCATGCACACGCGCCTGGCGTGAGTTTTAAGCCATGGGTTTGGGACGCGAACCATGGTCGACTACGTGAGAGTCCAGCGACATAGCTATCATGCTAACTGTTGGTCCCCCAGCAATCTGTATTTTAATAACCTTCTAGGGGATTCTGATATGCTCGAAGGTTTGAAAACCCTTGGAATCATAGGCTGGGAAATTAGAACTAAATATGGCAGAGCTCACCATAAACATTATTAAAGGCAGGTCATCTCAGTGCCCAGAGCAATGGTGCAGGGATTCATCCTTAGACACTGCCCCTGCCTGCTGCCTGCTGGGACTTGGAATGCACCCTCCTATTCAAGGCTTATTTGTCAATTTGTCACTTTCAGGAGACCGTCTCTGCTCACACCAGTTCAAAGTGCTTTCTTTTTTGGGAATACCTATAGTTTTGAATTCTTGTATGTCTAGCATTCTTTTGGTACTTAATATTGATTTTTAAAATAATTATTAGCTATCTATTTATAATTATTAGTTTATATGTTTATTTTTTCATGTACTTATAGGAAGATAACATATATAGTTTTATTTCATTCTCTGTTGTTTAATAGCTGAATGTTGGGGCCAGCAGGTGAGGTGGTGGTTAAAGACGCTGGATTCCCACATAGCCAGCTGCAGTTCAGGTTCTGGACCTGGTAGCTTGCTTTCTCACTTTACCTCTCTCTCTCTGTGTGATCAAACTGGAAAATAATAATAAATAAAGTTAAATAAAATAATTATTTAAAAGTAGTTGAATGTCACAGATTAGGTGGCTTATGAAGAATAGGGATATGTTTTGCCTACAGTTTTGAAGGTCCAAGATCAAGAGCTGCATTTGTTCAGGGTCTTCTATTGGGTCATCATTAAATTAAGGACACATTTCTGCATAGAAAAACAGAAAACTATGTTATGATTTTTCTAATGACCGTTAGTTGTTGGGTACCCTCTGCAGTGTCTGAAGCAGTGCAAGTCATCACAAGGGATAGGGCAAGAGCGGGACATCTGTGGCCATGAGACTGCTCTGGTCTCACCCTCTCTCCCCTTACAAACCCAACATTTAATCATGGGAACCTCACACTGATGACCTCATCTAATTCTAATCACCTCCCAATGGCTTCACCTCTTTATTTTAAATCCGTTTATTTATTTCTCCCTTTTGTGAGGGAGACAGAGAGAGAGAAAGTGAGATGCCCTCCTGGAGTATTTACCTATATGCAGTCCCACCCCGAGCCCCAGCCAGCGAGATCACAGACGTGTATTGTTCAGGATGCACAGAAAACCTCGAGATGCACACCTGGCACCTTCCCATTTGGCCTTAGCACCACAGAGCATTGTGCTACCCCTGCACTCCTGCTGCTGGCACCAGGCTTCACCTGTTAATCCCACTGTTAAACTAAGTTTTCCTTCTCTTAATACTGTCACAACCAATTTCAGTGCATGATTCTTGGGGAGGACACACTTAAGCTATAGCACGTGTCTGTGTGCACACACACACATACACGCCCACAGTCACTCAGGTACTACCTCCTCCTCAAAGACCTTCTCTGAACGGAACTGCAGTCACTTTCCTCTCGCACATTCTCCACTGCATTTACCTTACCTTGGCTTCCTCATAGCTCTTCATTATGTGAAGTTAGACATTTATTTGCTTCTCTTCTTGTCTGTCCACGGAGCTCCATATAAACTCACTTCTGTTGATCCATGTCTCGGGCTGCAGGATAGGGCCTGGCACATGGTTGGCATGTGATGAGCAGCGAGTGATATTTGTCTATCCCGATCTGAGCTGTAAGCCACCAGGAGACAGGGCTTATGTCTCAACCTTGAAGAAGTGCATTATGTCAAGAAACTAGTGTAGTATCTGGGCCATAGGAAGCACTGGAACACTACTATTATTATTTTCCACTCCTTTTCTCTTTCATTATTCCTATAGCCGTCGGTTTCTAATGGTTCTTTACACTGAGTCTGTACTTAGGGCACTTAGGGAGTGGTAAACATAGCTAATGAGACAGAATATTAAAGCAATTTAAAAACAAAATGAAATGTATCAGTGTTCTCCATGTTTTGATTTTATATGAGTTATTTTTAAAAGGAATAATGGTGGGCTTTCATACAAGTAATGTAAGTATTGAAATGTATACTAAATTATTAAAATCTGTTACACAAAGGGCTGGCCTGTGACCTAGTGATTGAAGGAACAGGATGGATCCCACATGGCCAACCAAGGTTCAAATCTCAGCTCTGCTTGGATTTGAAAACACACTGGACACATGTGTATACGTGCCCCAAACCGACCGTTTGGAGAAATGGTGGAGAAGGGATTGTGGCATGCCCATCCTCGATCAGGTGGTGTGCTGTCTCTTCCTTTCTCTCTCTCTGGCTAGTGCGTGTGTACTTTGGGAAATTAAAAAAAAAAAACAATCTGTAATGTAAAGTAGGTTTATAATTCTTACCTTTGTGTTCCAATATACTTGGAAATTCAGATTGTTTTCCCCATACTTTTGAAAGGTCATGAATATTACACATAGAATGAAATCTATAACATTCCTTGGATGTCTGGAGCTGCACGCCATAAACACATATGTGTGCATTTCTAAGCAAAACACGTGAGTATTTACCTAAATAGGAAAAACAAAGCCTACAGCAAATCTGGTCAATTCAAGTTGCGTTCAGTTCACATGAGTTTCCTATAAACTTACGAAACTTTGTTTTTAGAGATTTGATTTTAAGTATATAAATAAAGGTTTATGAACAAGTATATTCTCTATAAGGAGAACTAACATTTACATTTCAGATTCTTTTCTTCTTCAGAAGCTACATGGGTCTACAATTAATGTTGGAAATACTTGAAACTCAGAGATATTACACTGCTTGATCAAAAACAGCACTATATGCAAATTAAATCTGAATTTGAACTCAGATGTGGATGAATTCACACTCCTTATTCTTGGCTACAAAACATTGTCATTTAGAATAATGTCAGAGATTTAATAAAAAGGTCTATCATGGCTGCTAAGTGACCTCCTTCCTTGCAATTAATAACTAAGAGGTTCAAAGAGTTGGAGTCTATAGTAAGGGGCACACCCCAGATCAAGGTCTCTCTCTTTTTTTCTAAGAGAGATTTTTGTTATCGGGCATGCACACTTGCTGGAGGGGGAGGGGGGAAGGCAGACAGAAAGTGAGAAATCACCCCCCCAGAGGGGATGGCCGCACCACAATCCCTTCTCCATTCTTCTCTTAGGATCTTGAGCATTTATGTACACGTGCCCAACATGAGTTTGAAGCCGCTGGGTCTGGGACCCAAACAGTGGTTGACTACGTGGGAGTCTAGCTATGTACCCATTATGCCATCTGCTGGTCCCCCCAGGTCTCTTAATACCTAGATGTGTGCCCTCTTATTTCCCATGTTACTTTCTAGTTTCTTAGATGTTTCTAACTTATTTTTCTTGGAAATCATGGTCGTTGCTCATGTCAAGGCAGTTTTCTAATAGCTTCTGTCTTCTATATCTGCTCCCCCAATTTTTTAAATTTTATTTTACTTTTTATTTTTTTGGAGAGGTTTTTGCTATAGGGCGCATGCGCTTGCCAGACAGACAGAGAGAGACGGAGAGACAGAAAGCGAGAAATCACCCCCCAGGGGGACTGACCATGCCACAATCCCTTCTCCTTCATTCTCCTCTCTGGATCTTGGGCACGCACGCACATGCGTCCGGCGTGAGTTTTAAGCCATCAGGTTCGGGATGCGAACTGTGGTCGACTATATGGGAGTCCAGCGGCATAGCCATTACGCTAACTACTGGTCCCGCTCCCCAAATATTTTGATCAAGCATTTTAGCTCTCTGTATTTTTGTAATCAGATACCTAAGTGCTGGTAACATGCACTTTCCCAGGTTCAAGCCAGGGACTTTCTTTACTTGGGTACAGTTAGAGAATTGTAATTCCCTGTTCCCTTAGTTTCCTTTAAGAGTAAAATACGCAAATTCATTTAAAAATTAATAGCCCCAGTCTTATTTGTGCCTTATTCACTGAGAGAAACCTTAGAGTTAACTGCAATTTCAGTTGTTTTCAGCACAACTTCAAGGGAATTCTTTGATAGCAGTCAACCCGTGCCTGGTTTTGCTGTGTGAAGACAAACCTGTGTCTTAGAGCAGTGTGCTACTCGGGGAACTGCATTCGGAATCAAAGCCAATTACCTTGCTGTCTGCCTGAGCAGCACTTTACAGGTTTACCCAGCTTCCCAACAAGATTTGTCAGTATGAGATTTTTGTAAATCAGAGGTTTGAAGCGTACTAGAGAAATTCACATTTAATGTAGAAATGGGATTCTTCATTTCATTGAACGGAACCAATTCAGGAAAAAAGAAATCAAGGGCTTTTGGCAGACTAAAAGGATCTTGAAAACTTTCACTGTATTGTTTTTACCTTTGTGTGGGTGTGTATTTGTTTGTTTTCCAGAGATAGACTTGTAATGTTTTAATTGTGGAGGATTTTATGCTTTGTTGATGCCTGAGTTTATATGTTACCTACTTCTTTAAAGGGTAGGAGTGTACTCTAATTACATAAGAATTAAACGTAGGCACTATGTCATTTTTTTAAAATAAATTGAGATAAATACAAATCAGCTACAACAACTTGAGGGGGAGAGTGTCAGAGGGAGAGAGGAGGAGAGGGAAGGGAAGAAAGGAAAGATGAGGAATGTGAGCAGATCCAGGGCTCTGTGTGATGAGCTCCTTATCCCCCAGCTCTCTAATCACTGAAGGTAAAGAAATTCACCCTTATGTTGCATTTGTCCACAGGCCGAAGACTGAGCTGTGCTTAGACCCTGTGAATCATTTCTGGGGCCACAGCCCAGGTGATGTTACCACTGGTCCTAGAAACGAGCCAGTAGAGCATGGTCTTTTTTTTTTTTTTATTTTGAGAGGTTTTCGCTATAGGCCGCGTGCACTCACCAGACAGAGAGAGAGAGAGAGAGACAGAAAGTGAGAAATCACCCCCCAGGGGGGATAGTCACGCCGCAATCCCTTCTCCTCCATTCTCCTCTCAGGATCTTGGGCACGCATGCACATGCGCCCGGCGTGAGTTTTAAGCCACCGGGTCCGGGACACGAACCGCGGTCGACTACGTGGGAGTCCAGCGACATAGCCATTACGCTAACCGCTAACTGCTGGTTCCCAGCATGGTCTTTCATACTGGATGCTGAGTTGGAGCCTGAGTTCATGTTGGAGTCTTGCCTCCATTTGTGTCCTTGGTCTCTCTGCACCTTGGGGGTCTCATCTATACCACGGGAGGCATCGTCATGTACCGTGTAAGAATGTCGGCTTTGAAAGCAGACCTTGTGGTTGGAATCGTAGGTCTGCCAGTTTCATGCTGTGTGACTTTTAGGCAAGTTGCAAGTTGCTTAACTTCTCAGTCAGGAGAAGTACGTTTTCTTCCAGAGTTCACTTTGTGGTGCTTTGTGACACATACCGTGTGCTCCTGTAAAACACTGCCTGAAGTGTCACATGGCTTGGCCTCTTTTCCTGGATAGAAATTCCTTAGTGATTTTCTTTTTTTTATTTTTTATTTTGGAGAGGATTTTTTCGCTATAGGGCTCGTGCGTGCACCAGACAGACAGAGAGAGACATAGAAAGCAAGAAATCACCCCCCCGGAGGATGGTCACACCGCAATCCCTTCTCCTCCATTCTCCTCTTGGGATCTTAGGCACACATGCACATGCGCCCAGCGTGAGTTTTAAGCCACCGGATCTGGGGCGTGAACCGCGGTCAACTACATGGGAGTCCAGCGACATAGCCATTACGCTAACTGCTGGTTCCCCCTTTGTGAATTTCTTACACAGGTGTCCTTGTCTCAGGTCTTCTCTTACAGATGCTGACTCAAGGGAGCTCCTCCCTGAGGCCCACCCCATGTCTGAGCTTCATACCCACTTAAATTCCCACTCGTAAGGATGCTCATCTTGGAGTGAGGGTCAGGGATGGGAAAAGGATTGGAGAAGTTATTTTTATATATGAGATGTTCGGACAAAAACCACCCATTTAAAAATGTGATGTGTTTGTAAGTGGTTATACTAAACCAGCTTTGCCCTAGATGCTGGCATTCAAGACTAAAATGAAAATAAAAGAATCTATTTTAATAACTAACATTGTAACAATGTCAGTCTCTGGTTTTTAATCCATAGTTTTAGTTACATAAATGTTAAGTAGGTGTTTGTAGACTCCCTTGGGATTCTGGTTATAATTTATGCTCCTTGTCCTCTGGGAAAATGTGTTCCTACCTCCAAATACTTGACTTGGAGGAAATAGCTTAGTAATACAGTTGAGATGGATGACCTATATTAAGGAATTTTTGTTAACCCAGCACTTAGTGCGATAACGTCAGTGAGGAATTCATTTACATTGCCAACACTTACGAGCCCCCTGTGTTCCAGGCACTCTGCTAGATACTGCGGATAAAGATATGGTCATGGGCATTTGTTCTTTACTTGAAGCGTGTAGGATATTTTCCTATTTCAATACAAAGTTTTATGCCTTCAGTTCTTGGATTATATTGTTTATGTTTTCAATTTGCCGTGGGGTACATATACTAAGAGATGAGAGTGGGGAGTGAAAACGTAACCTCTCTCCCATGAGGGGATGGCCACACTGCAGTCCTTTCTCCTGGTGTGTTCTCAAGCCAGTGGGTCTGGGACTCAAATCATGCAGTTTGCCATGTGGGATCCAGATGCCTTAAGCACCATGCCAGTGGCTGGTGCTATTGTGTGTGTTTGTATGTGTTTAACATGTTTGACTG